GGTTTTAGGGGTTTAGGGGTTAAGGCCTTTGGGTTGAGAACCTTGCATCCAATTCTCTTTTTCTGTGACCTGTCTTCAGTTGATTGGTGCAGGCGTGATGCCTTGAACACTTGATATGTGCGAGGACCACCGTTTCTCCGGTCAGAGCACTGCAAACTGCTCATGCCTCAGCAGCATGAGGACCTATGCCAACCTTATCTTGGCCCTTCCTTGATGCCGTGTTTAGTGGAAAGTGGTGTGCGTGCTTTGTGGTCCTCTTCTGGGCTGAAGCCTGGCTGGAAGACTTGGGTTTATTCATTTACTGTCAGTCCACTGGGACCCCCATACGCTCATAATGAAGCCTTGAACCCAGGCTGCAAGCTCCAGCCCGCGAGCTTTGAGCTGAGAAAGTTGAGATTCTAATCCAACTAGCTACTACTACAAGATGACAAGCAACTCAAGTCAATGCTAAGGATTTGGCCCCGCCTGAACCTCAGCTTCCTCGTTCAAACTAGGGCTATGAATCCATGAACAGCATGATTGCCACCTGCGTCTCAAGCTTGCATGCAAAAAAAAGNNAAAAAAAAAAAAAAAAAAGAGGCAGGATTTAGCCCTCCAGGAAGCCGATGCTGCAGCATGAAATTGACAGGACAAGAGATAACAAGACGACATCGTTGTGATTCAACCACTCCTCATTGGAAACTGGCAGGCGAACAGGCAGCCCTCGCATCAAAGCGAGCCGGACAGAAAGCCCCAAGATATCCAGGACCAGTGCATGATTTCAAGTGCTACAGCATGCAGACTATGGGAGGGAGGAATTCGGAAATCCCTCATATATTAGGCTTGGAGGCTTAGACTAAAATTGAGGCTGCGGAGGCCAAGTGGAGCTCACAAGAGTCAACACTTTGCAGCTGAGTGAACAGGTTGCGCTCTAAGCAAGAAAGGCTACTTGCATGACATGCACCCCTGACTGCAAGGTAACAATTCTTGGCAGCGATAGTTCTATCAAGTAGTGTTGAACCTGGTCTGCAGATCAGCCCTCTATAATTGGGTTCTTCGTTTTCAACCCCCTCCCCCTACTCCTCCCAGCACCTCATGACCTAAATACTCCTCCTTGTGGTATGTTATCATATACTGGGGATACTCAACATCAGGGGGCGCGGTTGGTTTAATATTTGGGGAGAGGGGATTTTCCACATCGTGCAATACCAGATCACAGTTGCTCACCATGGCAACTAGAAATCAGAATGCTGCTAAAGACTAGCCTATAGGGTTTAGGGTTGCCTCTCCAAGGCAACTGGTAACAGCCTCCTCCACATTGCAGGTTCCCAAAATGCTGCAGGCTACTGTACCATGCAGGGATGATTTGGTAGGGGGGGGTTTTCTTGGCGAAAACTGGCCTTAGCATGTCCCGGCGCGTGGATCCTCAAACCACAATATGCTCCGCATCCAAACTGAAAGTTGCCTCTTTGCAGGTAATGGCTCCTAAGTTTCCTACAGCTTCCTTTAGCTTACTGGTTGTTAGCAGGGAAAAAGGGAATCTAATCCCTAAGTATAGTTTCTGATTCCCTACTAACACCTAGTAAGTAAAACTATGTTTTATACACTTTGCAGCCTGGGGCTGCCTTGGGCCCTGCCCCATAAGTTGAGTTGGTGTTCCAGGCCATGCACATGGGCAAATTGTGCACCAAACTCAGCACCATTGAAACGAAAGAGAAAAAGAGGTACTAAACAATTACAGACGTCCCTCCATTGCAAACAAATCTTACGTTTAGGGTGTATCTCTGACTTCTTGGTCGCTGATGTGTTCCTGAAACTTTCGGCTGAGAGGCTCCTCAGAACCACAAGTTCAAAGGAAGCTAGACACCTTTGGTGCGGCCAAGTAAATCACATATATGATGCCAGCGAGAGGCACTTCTTCAAGTGTCAGAGTCTAGGGTCTAGGGGTTACAGCACAGCTGTTTTCAGCAGAGCAGTCCCTTTGAGTTCAGTACAACCACGTACCAATTCTGTGCAGCCATTGGGTTGCCTCTCATGCACGTAGCCAACAGGGCCTGTGTTTGATATTTTTGTATACCACCCCCCCGCTGCTCCACTTGCAATCGCTGCAACGACAAAGGGAAGGGTCTCTTG